CCTCCAGGGCTTTGGCAGACCCCGGGCGGCAGTCTTGGGCTGGCTCTCCTGTCCGGGCCCTGGCACAGCCTCCCTCATGCCTGCCCCAGGGGTGGGCACGTGTGCTCATTTCCCTTCCTGATAGCAATCAGCCAAGCCCGCAAAGAAGGGTTCCCCTCAGCTGGGCTGGGTTGACGCAAAGGCCTGGGATGGAATCACCATCTTACAGGGGCCAGGTCTCTCCCCAAGGGCTGGCAGGACTGTGGCCTCTGGAGGAGGGAAGTGGTGCCTATGATTTTGCATGAAGCTCCTACAGAGTCAAGGAAAACCTCAAAGGAGACCCCCAGGATGACCCAGGCTATGCCTCGGTCTACCAAGGGCTCGCGGAAGCGCTGTGGTGGCCAGCTACCCAGATATCCTTGGCAGCCCCTTCTGAATGGGGAACTTCAGAACATGTTCTGAACATGTTCTGAATTTAGGAACATGTCCCTCCATTCCTCCCTGGTTCATCGAACAGCAGCAGGTGTTGGGCTGCAGTCACTGGGCCTCTCTGGGGGGCACACCCTCCTGCCTCCTTTGCTTTGCCCGGCTGGCCTCCCTGCCCATCCCAGCCTCCTCCCATGACCCCACACCCTGCCTCTGGGGCCTTCCATTTCATATTCTTGCCTACCAAGGCCCTGGGTCCTCCCAACCTCCTCACCCTCCGACCCCAGGGTGCCAGCCCCTCAAGATCACCTCCAGGTAGTCACAGCTCAAGCCACCAAACCTCACCACTCTCATTGCCTCTAGCCCCACCTCAGGGGCTGACTTTACCTCTATTTCACAGAGAACACAGAAGCCATTGTCCCTTCCCACCACAAACCTGTGGACCAACCTGAACCACCCCACTGCACCTTCCCCACCAGATAGACTGGGCCACCCAGGCAGCCTTTCCCTGAGCTCTCTGCGAGGAGCCCGGGACAGCTGATGGGGCACTGCCTGTGCTGGCTGGCCAGCCATCTCGCCCACTCCTGGCTCACCTCCATCAGAGAAGAAGGAGCTCAAACTTTCATGTGGAAGGTGCACTCTGACCCTGTGACTCCTCTGGCTGCCCCATCCCCCTCTTTCCTTCAGAATAAAACTTCAAAGAGTCTTCTACCCTCTGTCTCACCGTCACTCTCTCCTCAGCCCACTGCCAGCGGCTTTGCCTCACCACACACTGAAACCACTCTGCCAGAGGTCTCAGGGATCTCCCCGTCAGGAGTGGTTACACCTCATCCTCACCCTGCTCTCCTGCCAGGCGGCATCACCCCGGAAGGCCGTCATTGTCTGATGCTGCCCAGGGGGTGCTCAGTCTTTGGGTTGGACTGTTCTGCTTACCTCAGTCCCAGTGATGTCACTTCCTGGCTGCATCAGCTCAGCTTCTCTGAGACTCAGTTTCCTCTTCCAGAAAATGGGACTAATAACAGTACCTGCCTCACAGTTCATCATGAGGATTAAATGAGTTCAGACACGAAAAGAACTTAGTTTCCCACGCTTCACAAGTGCCACTCAATAGAAGTCAGCTGTGAGAGCGCTTCCTTTCACCCAGTCCCCTCCACCCTATCAGAACCTACCTAGTCCAGCTTCCTACCACCTCTCTTCCAGAGACTCCAATATCCCCTCACTGGCCACCCTGCTGCCTTGATCCTTCTCATCCATGCCCCCACAGCAGGTGCACCTGAGCTTCACCACGCCTCCCCTGGTCAAAAACCCCGCAAGTCCTCCAACGCTCCTAGCAGGAAGCCTCAACCTCTTTCACCTTTAATAAACTGTGTGTGTGTGTGTATACATATATGTATATAAATATATATATAAAAATATATACCTATATATACATAAATATATATATTAAAATTTATATAATTATATACATTAAAATATATAATTATATATAATATACTATGCAGCCATAAAAAAGGATGAGTTCGCGTCCTTTGTAGGGACATGGATGCAGCTGGAAACCATCATTCTCAGCAAATGATCGCAAGAACAGAAAACCAAATACCGCATGTTCTCACTCATAGGTGGGAACTGAACAATGAGATCACTTGGACACAGGAAGGGGAACATCACACACCAGGTCCTATTGGGTAGAGGGGAGGGATAGCATTAGGAGATATACCTAATGTAAATGACAAGTTAATGGGTGCAGCACACCAACATGGCGCCTGTATACATATGTAACAAACCTGCACATTGTGCACATGTACCCTAGAACTAGTATAATAAAAAATATATATATTAAAATATACAATTATATATAAAATTATATACATTAAAATATATAATTACATATAATCTATATTAAAATATATAATATATACTATATAATTATATAGTATACATATTAAATATATAATTATATAAAAATATATTAAAATATATAATTATATAAAATATACAATTTTTATATATAATATTATATATAATATATATATAATTTTTTTGGAGAGATGGTCTCACTCCGACACCCAGGCTGGAGTGCAGTGGCACAATCACAGCTCACTGCAACCTCAACCTCCCAGGCTCAGGTAGTCCTCCCACATCAGCCTCCCACATCCCAAGTAGCTGGGACCACAGGTGTGCACCACAACACCTGGCTAACTTTTTGCACCTTTTGTAGAGACAAGGTTTTGCCAAGTTGCTCAGGCTGGTATATAATCATTTTTAAAACAAGAGAGAAACACTACAAATGACAAGATTCATAATACTACTACTACTCAGGATTTCGTGGGCATGCATGGTTACAACACAAAGTCTTGCCTTTTAAAGAAACAAAAAAATATACAGGAATGTTTTGTCTCCACAGCTTTAAATTCATTAAGCTTTAAAATTCCCTAGAAAAGCCCACTTACATTAAAAAAAAAAATACAGCTTTTCTCTATAAGGAATCACATTATTTGTGCACAAGTCCCCAAAACATTTATATGGTACCTTGGTGTTACTGAATACTTGAGTATGCAAGGAACAAACTCTGGGTCCCTGGGGCAATAGGAGACCCTACCGGAGCTAAGGTTGATGAGGTAGTTAGATCAGAGCCCCTCAAATGTCACTGAATCATCGAGGATCTTGTCAAAATGCAATTTTTGATTCAGAAAGTCTGGGCTGGGGCCTGAGGGTTGGCACTGCTAACAAGCTCCCAGGCAGTGCTGACCTGCGGGTCTGGGACCACAGGAAGGGCAGGAAGGGTAGCAAGACTTGAAATCTGTCTCCCCACAAGACTGAGCTGCTAGTGGAGGTTACCACGTCTGTTTTATTCACAGTGCCGACACACAGCAAGTGCTTTGTAGACATCTGTTGAATGAATTGTGCCTACCGAGTACCCAAGCTGGTCCTAAGGCTCCTGTGTGTTGTGTTGAGTTGTGCCTGTGAGACTCCACTCTGGGTCCAGAACCTAGGGCTCCTCCTGGTCCACGGCCCAGCCTGGAGCTGAGCCAGGAGCACATATCAGCTACAGAAATTATCCTCACAGCATGGCCTTGAGTCACAGCTTCTTCACCTGCCTCCCCACAGCCACATCCTGGTTCTTGTCTTCACCTGATCTGCTTATGCTCAGAAGGCCAAAGCACCCAAATTCCCCTGCCTCAGCAGGGGATAGGTTATCCTATCCTCCATCTCCCCACACTGATCACGTCACACCGCACCACGACCCAGACCCTGGCCTCTCCATCCTGCTCTCCTCTCCCTCCCACCCGGGGCCAATCATCTTGAAGAATTCTTCCACATGCCCCCATCACACTCATCCCTTTACCAAAAGTCCCTACCCCATGGGGTGGGTCAGGCAGGCCTCAACACAGGCCCGTATCAGGGGGACGCCTCTTCCCTCAGGGGCTGCCCTCTGGGATCACCACCCCCGCCCTCTTTGGTTTCCTGCTTCCTATCTGGCTGCAGCTTTTCAGGCCCATTGTGTATTTCCCCATGGTCTGTGCCCACTCGCATCCCCTCTCTGCAAACCTTGCCTACTGGGCCTGTACCTGGCAAATCCATGCTCAGCACAGACAGGGATGGAGACCTCTCAATACAACTGTCTCCTGCCAATCCCTGCCCCAGCAGCCTGAGGCCCAGCCTGCAACCAGGGAGCTGCTCTCCTTTCTCCTCTCCTCCCTTGACCTCGCCCCTCAGACCATGCCAATTCTACCTCCTAAACCTCCCAGGCCAGCCCCTCCCCCAGCTCCCAGTGACAGTGTCCTCAAGAGCTCCTGTCCTTAGGTACCTGAGCTCAGCTCTTGGTGATACCAGAAGTACTGCCAGGGGCTGCAGCCAGGCCTCCTGCAGAGGCTGAGTCCCACATCGCAGGGAACAGCCATGCCACTGCTAGCAGACAAGTAAGAGAATGGCCACCTGGGGCCTGAGTGCTCTTGGTCACCCACCAGAAACAAAGTGTCAAGGAGAAGCTGCCCAAAGCCCATGGGACAAACCACTGGGGATTGGAACACCAGTAATTCCGCATTGGGAGGGGGCACCAAGAGATGTGCTTCTCAGAGCCTGAGGCTGCACATGGATGTTGAGCAGTGCGACCGGCTACCAGACAAACTCATCAGTTCCAGTGGCCTCCTGGCCACCCACCAGGACCAAGCAGGGTGGGTAGCAGAGGGCCACCTGGAGGTGATGACAGATGAGATCCCGCTGGGCAGGAGGCCTGAGTGAGCTGAGTCAGGCTTCCCCTTCCTGCCACAGGGGTCCTCTCACCTGCTGCCATGCTTCCCATCTCTCATCCTCCTTGACAAGATGAGGGGATACCCTTTAAGTAATCTTTTTTCTTGTTTCACTGATCTTGAGTACTAGAAAGTCATGGATGAATAATTACGTCTGTGGTTTTCTATGGAGGTTCCATGTCAGATAAAGATCCTTCCGACGCCTGCACCACACCACCCGCCCCCCGCCTTGCCCGGGGTTGTGGGCACCGTGCTGCTGCACATATAAGGCGGGAGGCTGTTGCCGACTCTTCAGAGCCCCACGAAGGACCAGAACAAGACAGAGTGCCTCCCACCAATCCAAACATGAGCCGCCTGCCCGTCCTGCTCCTGCTCCATCTCCTGGTCAGCCCCGGACTCCAAGCTCCCATGACCCAGACAACGTCCTTGAAGACAAGCTGGGCTAAGTGCTCTAACATGATCGATGAAATTATAACACACTTAAACCAGCCACCTTTGCCTTCACCGGTGAGTAGCTGGGATAAGACTGGCCTGCAGCAGGGAGGGGTGGTGGCTGCCTCAGGCCAACAGGCCTCATGGGCCTCTCTCTCCCTTCACCCCATAGGACTTCAACAACCTCAATGAGGAAGACCAAACCATTCTGGTGGTAAGAGCTCAGCCCCTGGATCCCAATCCACTTCCTGCCTGGGTGACTTCAGCCATGTCATTCCATCTTGCCTAGCCTTGCTTTCTTCATCTGTAAAATAGGGTTAATAGCGCCTGTCTCAGTGGGACTGTTATGACAGTCAAATGACACAATGTGCATAACGTTCTGGCCCAGCATCTGGCACTTAAGGGTTCAATACGTGGCCACAGCCATGGCTATAAGAATGAAAATGACTTTTAAATTAGAAAATGAAAAGGCAGTTCTAGGTGAGGAATACTAAGGGCCTTAAGGTCAGTTTTTGGTAGGACAGACTCTGGACTGACAGACGGAAATTTCCCCCACAGATGTGCCAGCTTCTTTTTCCCTTTAAAAAGTGAGTTTGTGTTTTCCACCCTCATTGGTTGTGGCATTATCATTTACAGTTATTTTTCATGGTTCCAGTTGGTTGCAATGGTTCTCTCTCACGTTTGCATGACATTTCTTGGGTCAAACAAGAAGTGGAAGCCTTTGCTGAGTTCCTGGGCCATCTGTATTTGGGGCACTCACTGCTCACATGCTGCACCCACTTCCATGTTGCGGTCTCTGTGATTTTCTTCTTGATTTCTAGGAGACTTTAATTCAGTCAGGGCATGAACGCTGTTATCAGCCTTTGAGCTACAAATACTTCCCATGGAAGACCCCCTGCCTTTTGTAGAGTTTCTTTTTGGAGATATGTTCTACCCCAAGTGCAGAAAGATCCACCTAGGTCCCCCCTCCCCCCCCCTTTTTTTTTTTTTTGAGACAGAGTCTCACTCTGTTGCCCAGGCTGGAGTGCAGTGGCACGATCTTGGCTCACTGCTACCTCTGCCTCCCAAGTTCAAGCCATTCTCCTGCCTCAGCCTCCCAAGTAGCTGGGACTACAGGCATGCACCACCACTCCCATTTTTGTATTTTTAGTAGAGTCGGGCTTTCACCATATTGGTCAGGCTGGTCTTGAACTCGACCTCAGGTTATCTGCCTGCCTCGGCTTCCCAAAATGCTAGGATTACAGGCTTGAGTCACCGCACCCGGCCCACCTAGGCCCTTCAGGCAGCTCACATGGAGCCAGAGACTGGGGGCTTGAGGAAACCAGGTCCTGCCTGCCACTCACTTCTAGGCCTGTGCTCTTGGGCAGGGACCCACCTGAGGCAAGAATGGGACTAGGAGGGAACCCGAGAGTGGGCTTGGGAAACCCTGGGGGTGACTTCCAGCTGCTTGTGGGAGGGATACTCCGTAACCTTTCCCCCGTAAGTGTATTCTCTGCCCTGTTAGGAAAAAAACCTTCGAAGGTCAAACCTGGAGGCATTCAGTAAGGCTGTCAAGAGTTTACAGAACGCATCAGCAATCGAGAGCATTCTTAAGGTATGTGAAGCTGTTGAGGGTTTGGGATCCCTGTGTTGGCCCTGCCCTGCCTCTGGGGAGGATGACAGCAGGGCCCACTCCCTTTCCAAGGGAATCTCTGACCATCTGCTTTGATCTCTTTCCACAGAATCTCCCACCATGCCTGCCCATGGCCACGGCCGCACCCACGGTAAGCTGTCCCCCAAGATGCCCGTGTCGTGGCTTGCTCCTCAGTTGGTCATCACCATTATAGCCTGGACTCACCTAATCCCACCTTCTTGGTTTCTTTATAGCGACCTCCAATCCGTATCACGAACGGTGACCGGAATGACTTCCGGAGGAAACTGAAGTTCTATCTGAAAACCCTTGAGAATGAGCAGGCTCAATAGACGACTCTGAGCCTCGAGATCTCTTGAGTCCAACGTCCAGCTCGTTCTCTGGGTCTTCTCACCACAGAGCTTCAGGACATTGAAAACTTCTGAAACCTCTGGCTCATCTCTCACACAGTCCAGGACCAGAAGCATTTCACCTTTTCCTGCGGCATCAGACGAATTGTCAATTATCTAATTTCTGAAATGTGCAGCTCCCATTTGGCCTTGTGCAGTTGTGTTCTCATTTTTATCCCATTGAGACTATTTATTTATGTATTTATTTATTTATTTATTTATTGCTTTCTGGAATGTGAAGTGTATTTATTTCAGCAAAGGAGCCATGTCCTGCTGCTTCTGCAAAAAACTCACAGTAGGGTGGGAAGCATGTTCATTTGTACCTCGAGTTTTAAACTAGTTCCTAGGGATGTGTGAGAATAAATCAGACTCTGAACAACTGCTTTGTTACCAGTGTTTCAATTTGATTCGGGACTTAGTGACCATTTTAGAGGAGACTGGTGTGCCACGAATCCTGGGTGGCTTGATCCTGCCACGTGGATGTTGTCTGTGTGAGCTTGTTCTCACACTGCCCTCCTGCCACCCCCATTTCCAGAAAGGTGATGATAACCCTAGCAATCTTGAATATCCACAGAACTGCTACCAGGTACCAGGAGCCATTCTCAGCACTTTACCTGTGCTACCTAACTTACTCCTCACACCAACCAAGAGTATGTTTTCTCCGTTTCATGGGAAACTGAAGTTCAGCGTAGCTGAGCAACTGCCTAAGGTCACACAGCTGATAATGGCCCAGCTGTGGCTTGAATTCAGGTCCCCGGGGCTCTGGAGCACACTGATCCTGTGGCACGTCCCCCCCTAGTGGTCCTTCCAGAAACTGCAGCAGCCGCCCCTGCTCCTCCCAGGGCCAAGTTCAAGGACCAACATCCCCTGATCCCCACTATGCAGCAGGTTCTGCTGACACAGGCCACCCAACCCTTGATTCCACTCCTTTAAGACCCTCCAAGCCTGGAGTCCCCACCCCTGCCTAAGCCCCCAACCTCTCCTGCCTGATGATTTAGCAGCCCCCCTGCAGGCTTCCTGGCCAGCCCTGGAACCCACACCCTGACAATCTGTGCCCTACTGGGGAGCCAGACGGAGTTTTAGAAAATGCAAATCTGACCATGTGGATCTATACTGAATCCTCCAGTCCTCAGGGTCTTCTGGACCTTGTCCATATCCTTAGGACAATATATAAGGCTCGCCTCCAACTGTTGCTTCTATTTCCCCCATGGCTACAACCCTAATCAATGCTCCAGCCAACAGGAGTGCTGGGACTTCCTACAGAGGCTTCCATGAAGCCTCTCTTCATGCCCCTGAGCTTCTATCCACACTGTCACCTGAGTATGGCAAGCCCTGACTTGGCATGATGAGCTCCTATTCCATGGACCAACTCAAACTCTGCCCACCTCTGGACTGTCCACACTGTCCCAGGATGGGGCCCTCCTCTGAAATAGGTGGGTACACAGGGACCCACTGGAGGGACAGCCTGGAGGCAGGAGTGCCCCCCTCTAATGCCCCTGACACCACCCTGTGGCCCTCGTCCAGTCTGCCGGTGGAAGGAGGGGCAGAGGGGTCTTCCTCTGTCACCACGTAAGCAGCAATAGCATCCTCTCTGATTCCTCCCAAGTCCCAGAAAAGCTTCAGAGGCTGACACCAGGTGCTGGGGTCCTGTCCCCCTTTTTCCTCTTTTCCACCTTGATCCATCCCGGGACGTTTGTTGTTGGACTTAGCCTGGGAGGAGATATAGAGGATGCTGCTGCAGTTTCTGAATTGACCAGTAGGGGGAGGTGTGTGCCACTGGTCTCAGGGCACACCAGGGTCCTGGAGCAGCCAGGCCTTAGAGGGTGTGGTGAGAGGCCTGACTCTGGACTGGGTTTCCCAAGCCTCCTGTACACCCAGCCCCCCAGCCCTTACTTTCCCTCCCTCTCGCATGTGACAGCTGGTCCTGTTTTCATCCTGGGCTGAGGCAGCATTTGTGCCCCAGTCTCATGTTCCCAGAGGAGTCGCTGCTTGTCACCTCCTCTTCACACCCTGGAGAGTGGGTCAGCAGCCATCTCCTCTGCTGTCCTGTGTTAGTGACTGATGCAGGCAAGAGGCAGGGTTAGTGGTTGGACCAGACACAGACCTGGTGCAAGAAGCCAGTCGGCAGGACCTGTGGCTGGCCGGAGGGTGGCAGGTGGAGGTGACATGCTGGAGAGGGCAGCAGGCGGGCCTTTTCAAATGTGCTGAGGGCTCCTCGCTGCCCTTCTGGAATAGTATAGACTGCAGCTTAAAGCCAGGTTGGGGCCAGAACCAAGTGGCAGTCAGTTCCTGGACAGGTTGGGGAAATTTCTACATGCTTTAGACAAAAGGTTTATGTTCCCTCCAAATTCATATGTTAAAATTGAATCCCCACTGTGATGGTATTGGGATGTGGGGCCTGTCCTTTGAGCCAGGTCTATGTGTCCAGATGGCACCAGGGGGCAGCATCGCCCCATTATAAATCCCAGAACCGCCAGGGAAGGCCCAAGTTTCTGCCTTCCCACATCCCAGGCGTCTCCTCAGGGGGAAGGTGGATTACAGCTCTCAGCCAGGAATTTTGTTTTTCACTGAAAAATACTATTGTGGGAGTGAGACTCAGTCTCAAAAAAAAAAAACACTATTGTTTTTCACTGGAGGGGAAGATGGGAAAGCATATATACTCTTTACTGAAAAACTTGGAAATGCAGAGAAATAGAACAAAGGGAAAATTGACAGAAAGGCAAGTGCCTAAGGAGGGCATAACTCAGAAGGCACAACCAGCCTCACCCCCTGACAGGAATCCTTCCACTCCAGGAAGGGGCTCTGCTCCTTCTGCCCTGGCCTCAAGCCCCCATTTGACTCAGTGGAGCAACTGCTCTGAGGACTCTCTATAGCTCCCCCAGGCTGGGGCGGGCATAGGTGAGGCACTGGGCCAGGCCTTTCGGGCCTCCCGGCCATGTGCAGTTGGCCCCGCACAGTGCGGTGGGGATCATTACAGACAGCACAGGACCGACGGACGGGCGTGGACCTCCTCGGAGGCACTGCCCACAGGTGGCGCAGAAGGGGCCTGAGAAGTTCATCCAGCAGAGAAGGGTGGGAAAGGCACAGGGAGGGAAGGAGGCAGATGCCCTGGGGGAGAAGGGCATGGAGGTCGAGAAGACAAGGTAAGCGGAGGCACAGGAGAGTCTAAGTAGTGCAGAGGCCAGAATGTGGCTGGGTGCCAGGTGTCCAAGGTGAAGACGGTGCCCTGGGTCACTGCTTTTGCCCCTGGAACCCAGCCAGTCTCGGCCCCAGACACCTCTGAGTCTTAGCTAGTCTCTTCTCCCCATTCTTCCCTCCCTGATCCCAGGCCAGCCCAGCCCAGCCCAGCCTGGCCACTGTGGAGACCGCAAGACTGGACGGCCATGGCCTGAGGAGCGGTGGGTGGAGGGAGGCGGAAGGACAGGATGGAGCCATGGCAGACACTGTGTGTTTAACACCAACAGGAAGGAGCCAGGGCAGAGGGAGAGTGGTGCTGGAGGAAACAGGAGCTAGCCCAGCAGAGGGGGATCCCTGGGCCCAGGAAGATGTGGGACCCATGGTGGGAGAGAGGGAGAGGAGGCAGAGGTGGTGTGGATCAGGGGTGGGGGCTAGGGGCCCAACTTTCCCCCTCGGAAGCCTCAGGTCAGGCTCAATGAGGTGGATCAGCAAAGTTGCTGCTGCCCTCCTGGACTGAGAAGGGACTCGAAGAATCCCCACAATGACCCAGGCACTCAGGCTGTGATTAGCCCCATTACACAGACAGAGACTGAGGCAGAAAAATGAAGATTATTTGAGTCCAGAGCTTCTGAATCCTTAAGCAATGGTGGTTCACCAGTGCCCACCGAGGCCCAGGAATTCTTTAAGTCTGACTCTGGTCATGCCTGGGGTCTCCCCTTGACTGGATCCAAGCCTTCCATGGTAACTTCTGCCCTACAACCTCCCAGTTCCAGCTCCACACTTCTCACCTGACCACTCTCATGCTGTCCAGTAAATGCCTCTACATGCCCATCTGTCCTGTCTTCCTACCCGGCACCCCCTCCCCACAACCAACACACAGGCTGGGGGCTTAGATCCAGGGAGGTGGTCCGCTGGGCTCCTCTCTCTGTCCCCATGCCTTAGGGGACTTCTGAGAGAGACCCTGGTTCCCAGCTGTCCCCTGCCATGGCTGATTGTCAAGGCCTCTTCCAGCTCCCACTCAGGCCCCCCAAAGACCCCAAGCTTAACTCCACCTCCAGCCGTGGTTCATGATGTGACCCCTTCCCTTTCCCCTCCATGAGCCCTCCCTGCCCTGCGGGGTCCATGGAATCCTTCTGGTGTGAGGCCTCCTTGCCTCCTCCTCAGACTCATAAGCCCTTGACCCAGGCTGCTCCCGGGACCTGCTTCGGCAGAGACTTGCCTGGAGCCTGCACTTGGAGACTCAGCCCTTTCCTGGAGGGAAAGTGGGCTGTGCTGGAGACCGGCAGGCACCAAGGACAGCAGGCTGTGGGGGTGGTGTGTGTGCCCCGAGAGGGGCCAAGTCAGGGTGTCAGGGAGGGAGGACAGCTGCAGGGAGGCAACAGAGGGCAGCGGGCGCTGGAGCGAAGGCCGAGCAGCAAAGCAGAGGTCTCCTTCCCTGCCTCCCTTCATGAGCACCAGCTGCACATCTGCTCTATGTCCTGATCCCATGGGCCGCGCCAAGGCCCTCCTGAGCATGAGGAATAAAAACACTGGGCAGCCACCGCTACCATTCAGAGAGCCTTGAACCAGGGAGGACTCCCCCACGCAGTGGGTCTCTGACCTACACAGGCCCACGTCCCATGAGGGAAGCCTAAATTTACACTCACCTCCAGGGCATGACAAGGCCGGGAGGCTGGTCTGGACCCTGGTAACCACTCCCCTCTCTTTGATGGACAGGGAGACTGAGGCTAGATGGAGGCACCTAGCAAGCCAAAACAGAAAACCAA